GTTGAGCTGTTCCACCCATGCGACGTTGGAATCAAGTAAGGGATAATTTCAGTCGATTTGCGAGTTGATCATGCTATACTTACTCACCTTTTTACAACCATGTACAAACACTTCACACTCCCAATCCCCTATTTTCTGTCTGTCTGTCTGTCTGTCTGTCTGTCTGTCTGTCTGTCTGTCTGTCTGTCTGTCTGTGTGTGTGTCTGTCTGTCTGTCTGTCTGTGTGTCTGTCTGTCTGTCTGTCTGTCTGTCTAGGGTTGGTCCTGCCTCACTTACAGTCAGACAGTAAGCCGCTGTGGTTATCTGTGCATTGCATTTGGACAGCTTCTCTCCAACCAACCGATGAATAATACCATCTAGTTCACTGCGGCAGAAGAGTAAGTACGTCGACAGAGCTGTAGGCATGAACGGTCACTTTTGTTTCACTTACGTGATTAACGTTCAAGTAACAGACAACAACGGTCGTGCCGGTACGCTGCTTCGATTCAACATAATGTAATTTTGTTAGGGTAGACAACAGACACTACAAGGTTCACGGTCCAAATTCCAGAAGACCGGTGCTGGCCCGAAGAGACCTGTTTATTACGAACCAGAGTTAGGTAATCGGCAATTTGGCGTGCAAGCAACCTCATTTTGAAAATGTCATCACAATTTCCGGCAGCATGCAGGATAAATAATGGAAAAAGCCGCAGTTATTATGTCGAACACAGCAACGCGCTCTAAGAAGTGTTGTTCATCTCTGACCATCAAGGGAAATCACCAGTTGCAACTATTTGTGTACTACTCACAAAATTGAGTAGTATCTCACGGCAATCCTACTACATTCGGTGAAACAGAACCATTTGTTGGCTGAACAGAAAGTACATCGCGCACATGGGCTGCACTTCTCACATCCTAGCGCTGTTTATTGAAAGTGCCATCATGGAAACCATTCATTATTATTCCGGGATCATAGAACTACGGATGTCGCTAGGAGCACTGAAACATTCATCAATGCACAGATTCCTCGTGGATTTTTCAATCAAGTTCATTCGAAATATATTCTTTTCGAAACGTAACGATTCATGACCGACTTGTTTGGATGATCAGGACGGTCATCAGAAGAAGGAATCAGAAGTGCAAATTTTCTAACCGTCCTTGGGTTAAGGCCATCTCACGTTGCGTTGTGAACTTGGCGATTATCCAGGCTGCAGTACCTCCAGACAATAGTGTTTGGTTGTACATTTTGACACCAGAATGAACTTCGCGATTCAACAACCATCAGGTGGTATTGTTAGGTCACAATGTATCTTGCTTGAAACCATTATTATATTTCAAGAAATTTGGTCGTTTCCATTGAAAATACCCTAGTTTTACCATACTCGTTTTATGAAGGTTTATCTCCGATTTCATGGTCGGTCGACTAAGCAAGTCAGGTGTGCAACTGGTGCTGCATTTGATAATTGGCCAAGTCATTCGAATACCAAACTCCAAGAAAGACCATTACTGGGAAATGTAATCGATTAACCCAAAGAAAGCCTCACAGGTATTCTGGCTTTTTGTGGTGTCATATGAGCTCCGGAAACTGATAAGGATTGAAAGTAACTAGTACCACTAGAATGGCAAATGGCAATTTTTTATGTTTTCTCTTTTTCAAACCGNATGAAGCTCCCAAAGGATGAGCCAATCATAAGAGAGTTGGGCGCACACAATTCGACCTCTCAACAAACAGCGACAGGCTTGCTTGCTTGCGTGCATGCATGCAAGCAAGCCTGACTCTTAAGGAGTCATCAGAACAGATCACGGGGCGTGGGTGGTTATATAATCGATAAATGATAAGCGATGAATCAGTACGAAACAAGGTCAGATGGAACATAGGTCAATCAATAGTAAACGACAATGGAGGCACAACAGAATTCGTGTAGTTGAAGTCATACGAGTGAGTGGTTTGCGTGTGTCTGCATGCCCATTTACGCTTCAGAAACTGGGAAAAATAGGAAATAGATAACCAGAACGAAATGAATGTCAACGAGACAAATAAGAAGCGACAGAGTGGACAATGAGTCAAAAGAACACAAAATGATTCTGTGGAAAAGAATCAACATGAGGTCTCGGGTTCAAGTCTCATTTGAATCCTTGGACTTGTGTTGCTGGTATATATAAATGATGCGTTCTTTGGTCATGATGTGCAGATCAACTGTTGAGTTTCCATCATCAGGTGTTCCCGTAGTTCAGTAGCCATTGATCGATGCCTTGTCAGCCTGGGGCAGTACGTTTAGCACTTATGACTCAAAAGAAAGGAATAAGCACACTTTTCCGGTATACCTATAACACATTTAAAGATAGGGAAAGCATCCTGGATGGAATTAAAAATGGGCTATGGACTGAAAACTTCCAATATTGCATCACTCACTCGTCGGAACATTTTCAAAAAGAAACCGCATCAGTATCTGGTTGTTCAGTGAGCATCATTGGTGACAAAACATTCTATGCTCATTTTCGCTTCTTGTTGATAATGTAGCAAACCGATGGCAGAACAGAATGCAACGAGGTGAAGGTTCGTGATTTGAGTTATTTGTAGCGTATTGCGTGCACTATTCGAATCATTGTTTTGTCCACGAGCAACAAAACTTCTAGCTGATTTCATGAACATTACATTGTAAAATGTAGATACTCTGCTGCTGCAGCCATATCAGGTTCTGGGCCAGTTCCTGTCTAATTTTACATTTGTTTCTTTCATCCTGCTGGATATGTAACCTATCAAAAGTGAACGCATGACCACCAAGAAGACAATCAACGAAGGATGGTGGGTAGATTCGAGTCGATCAGTTCCACCTTTTCTCCTTAACCCATGAGAACATGTGACTTATTGAAGTTATTCGGAAGTTCACCGATCTTCACCAATCTTCATTCTGGGCTTGACTGTCTGTGTCGTTCCACGATAGTTTTATGGGTTTTGCTGTATATTTCAAAATGATGATAATAGACCTTCAAACCATTTCGTATGCATGCAGTGGATAGCTTTACTGCGTCCTGTATCACTGATTATCTCTGATTTTTCTTAAGAAACAGTGTTCATTCACTTTCTTCGGTTGGTTATCCCAATGTGATCTATTAATACACTCGTGAATGTTGGTTCGGACAGTGATAGGCATGTAAGTTGATTGTGTTGAATGTACACCTGTTTAACTAACTCAGACTGGGCCATCAATTCACTGGAAAACCCTCCTGGAGCGATGTAAACTGGTTGTGCCGAAAACTTGTGTCTACCTCTACCCGCTTCTAGTGTGTGCTATGCACAAAACTGCGGACAGTGGCGGCTAAACGATTACCTGAGTCTAAAACAGCCCACGAGTACAATAGGCCACAGCCTGCTAAAAGGCGAGAATACCTGTAGTACCTCGAAGACTACCTCATCCAAAATCTTGCGCTTTTCTTTGTTCTTGTTATTTATTATTCTCATCTTTAGTTATCCATGAATGGGAGCAATGAAGCAAGCGTGTGTGTATGACGGTATAATTCATTCAATTCAAGTTGTGCATACCCGACACGATTTTTCTTAGTTCGCTTGTCTAAAAGAACGTAAGATTCCCGTGGCCCCAGTTTCGTCATTATGACAACACTAGAATGTTTTGTGATCGTTCATGTACACTCATATGAGAAACGATTCATCCAAGACTACTTACAATCTTGGATGACTGCATTTCATTCATTTATATGGTTTTCTCCCTGGGTTTTGCGCTTATCAAATCCAATGTGACCTGGTCGACCAAGTCTCATCATTTGCTTAGTTCCTCTCCACAATAATTGTCACTCCCAGTGGGAAATTAGACCACCACTACTGTTGTAATCGCGCCGGATTTAACTCAGTACTCTATTCTCAAAGGATTTCCCAAATAGAAACTCCACAGGTTGTGAAATACAATACAGCCAGAAGAGAGTATAAATTCAGTTTATTACGCAAAATTCATGGTTATTGATAAGAAAGAGAGAGAGAACAAGGTAATGCATATATCAAACGATTGGTTGACGAGATTACTGTCAACCGTCTTGATTGGTCGGTGGTTCCAGCCAATCACCTGAGTTCGCCTATCGCTGTTCTGATTGGTTGCCCCGGAACGAAGCAGTTTTCAGGGAGCATGTTGACTCACTGACGCCTACTCAGTTGGATTCTCCTTTAGGTGTGATAAATTGTGATTGTACTGTGAGACATTATCCAAACATCTTGTATTTATTAGTAATAGTCAAGCAGCTTTCAAATTGATAACAACCTTCGCGAATTTTCGATACCCTAGTTAGATTACTCGGTTCCGATGCGGTGAAAAACCTGAGCCAATGCAAAAACCTCAAAAATAACATTGGCCTTCTCGATACGTCACATTAACCATACTGTTCACATTTATTCCTTACGGAGCGGTGGCAATTTTCATGCATAAATTTACTGCTCATACAGAATCCTTTTGTTATACATTTACAGCTCAAAGTTTCATTCGTTGCCTTAGTTTATGCAAACGTTTCCATAGTTTTCAAATTTTTTCTTATGTTGTTGAACTTTGCTCCATTGTTAAGCCAAAGTCTGAATAAAACAAGTGACACAATGTGAGCAAAATTGATATTCGCTATCAATTCCTCATGCTCTCAATCAGCTGTCTACACACATCAAAAAGGTCTAATGTTATACGAAGAATACCATATATAGATATTTAAATAATTACATGAGTTCATGCGGAAAGAACTGGGTTGTTAAGTCAGAACTAAAGTCATTTGGGAGTCGGCAAACGAGGAGGAGACAGTATCAATATCAATATTAATTCTACTCATATTATGTGACTTCTTTTATTCAACTGGATCAAAGTTAAAGGATGTTTCTGATACTAACAAGGTCATTCGTGCTTCGCTGTATTTCGATGACTGGTCCTTTTAGACAAACTCCTTGATAGATCATATGAGTTTTGCCTTCAAAAGATTCATCAACTAACGCATACACAAGTATCTACCCTACCCAATAATGATTCCTACAGTTGGGAACAATTCCATAAATTTGAAAATCGATCCCGAGCATAACCGATTGATCACAACTTCCTCCAGTGGTCTGGTAAAATTTTGGAAAGAGATCAGACCAATTCCCCTAATCCCGGCCAAATCGATTCAACAGCGACAAAATGTGCATTTTATGCATCGATGGATCTTCAGTCGTTTTCCGTTCGAGGCAATACAACAAATCAATCTGTTCTGTCTCTACACCACACCACTTGTTTCGCCGAACTCGACTAAACACAGTGCGTTTTGTGTGGACACGGATCTGATGGCTTCCGATCGACAATTTACTCCCTACCGCATTGATGCATGTGTTTGGAGGGAACCTGCCGGTAGAAGGGAACAGTTGCGATCCGTCTATTCAGCTGATGTGAGCAAAATGGGGCTGGAAACCAGTGTGGCTCTCTCCGAACGATTAGCCCAATTACGTCGATTATTTGTGACCATCTCAAAAGACGCAATGGGCACGGACAGACTGGAAATATGGCAGTGGGATTACGCAACAAGCACTACGGTCACACGTCATGAAACCTTGAACAACGATACCAGACGGGACCTATTTTTGCGCCCGGTCATCATGGAGAATCCGCAATGCCCTGAGCCAGCTCAAATCGGTCCCGTACCACAGCTGAGTTGTCGTCTGAATCTAGTGAACACTTTCCGTTTGCCACCATTTCAATTCGGTGCAAACGAGACTGAAAAGGCAATTTGTTTGACGTTTCTGAATGGAACAGACACTGTTGTTTTGGCCTTTGAAGAACGGGTATTTCTATTGCCTGTGGACAACCTCATACCTGGTTATAATGTGTTTCGTTCGAGATTGTCCACCCTTATTCAGCCCGAACCGTGTAAAGTGAAAGGATTGATTGAATCGAGCATCAACGATTCGATCAATCAAAACTCTGCTTTGATATCGACCAGGACATGGGACGAAGAGTTGTTAAGACAGATGGACTACGAATCCTTAAGATTGGTAAGTGGTTATTCAATTTTTTGAATTGTTTCAAGTGCTTATAAACCACAAAATGGTGATCGTTAAAACCTAACGTCTCCAGAATAAAAAAACAATGGTATATAAAACCTAACCGTATACGTTATCTATTTATGTATATATGTATCTTTTCTTTTCTCATTTTTACTTCCTTGTATTGAATATACAAAGCTACAGATTTTAGGAGGGGGAAGCGGCCAATTAAAGAGCTACCATAGAACACAAAACGGGGAGTCAGACGGTGTTAGTGGTGATATTCGAACACAAATCCTCCTGGGTCATAATTTCATAACGTTACCACCCGACCATCACTGCGCCATATCCATATATAGAAAATCGGGGTACGCTGAGACATGTAAAATGAGAGAAAACAGTTTGCCATATTACCAGAGCATGCCCACCGTAACATGAAGTATTTCGATTGGCACAGGTTGGGGTCCCATCGATTGATCTCTATTGCCTTCACAAGATCTAGTCAATTCGACCTCCTCGGTAAATAAATAATTTGGAATCACTGGTCATGATCGAACTGAGGGCTTGTTTCTAACCTCGTGACTGGCGATGCAAGAGTATGGTTTGTTCGATTCTCGTTAGGCTGTGATTGTGTAGTATTCATTTTTTCAAAATAGAACTGAATCTATCCCGAAATATGTTTGGTCGCTCGGTTGCATAACTGTCCCTCCGTTCTACCGATTTAGGTGACTCCGAATTGACATTCAGATTCACAGATTACGTTTGACGTTTTCGAATAAAGGGAGACAATTTTTGGTCGGTAGCTTGAGGATTCGGGCTTTGCTGTTATGTAACAGTGAAAGAACAGCAAAGAAATTGTGTGCAATAGCTTAAATCTATCCATATGCAACAATTTTCGTGTTCTTTTTTTAAAATGTCTATCGGGAAAAGAATGTTTCAAATTCAGAAAAGACCAGGTTTGATGTACCAAGTGGTAAATGTGTACATTAGCCGTGTTTCAATTAACTCCGAAATTTTTTTATTACTTGTTTTGACTATCGCGGTACTTAAAAATTTATGTTTTGTTCTCCTCATTCCCCTGGTACGCACGCACCTATCCCAGATCAACTCGGTACAGAAACAATATCTTCCAAGTTCGATCAGATATCGATTAGATGTTTTACATTCACAACTGGAACAGTCTCGCGGAATTTCTCTGCGAATTAAGCGACAACAAGACGACTTAGATCGGTTGATGAGTTCGTCGGTGAGTGCAAAAGAGTCGTGCTCGAAGGCAAACGTGAAACGAATCAAAGAGGAAGCTTTCTCCGCTTACTTTAAGAAACTTCTGACTGAATACGAACTGAAGGCATTTCAACTGCGTGCTCAATCGCCAGACAAATGTTCGGGTAAATCTAGACAGTTGGACACTACAACTACTCATTCAGTTAACAGTAACAACAACAACACCTCAACCGTGACTGAGCAGCCGTCTGGCGGGCAAGACAAGTCACAACGACGTTCGAGGAGGCATGTGGGCAAACGTGTTCTACCATCACGACTTTTACCACCGATCAAACGAAAACAAGAAAACGCGGTTGAAGCTGCAAATGAAACTTCTAGTGACATGACTGTTGCAGAAGCCAATTCTGAGTGGGGCGTACTTCCATTATACCGAGCACATGGTTTCTTTCCTGCCAACATGCTTGATCAAACTGGTCGGTGGACATGTGGTTGGGCTCCGAATTCCGTGCTCATCCAACATCTTTGTCCCGAGAAATATCCGGTTCCACAATCAGCCACTGAACGAGTTCAATGGAAACTACCAGATTTGATTTCACTTAAAGAAAAATGTCGTCTGGCTAGTCTGACGGAGTCGGACACATTGGAAACAAGCGACAGTTTCATAGTACCTAGTCCCACACCGATTGATGAGATATTGTTGGCGGAAGAGGAGGAGGAGGGGGAGGATGAGCTGGAACTTGAGCGACAAATCCAAGACAGATATTTGGCTCGTTCACATCAGGACAGCTACAAAGAAGTGGAACTTGAAACGCGCAACGAAACGGCTTCAGAACCTGTCACACCAGTGCCCAAATTGAAAGAACCGCGACTACCGACACCAAAAGGTCGTCCAATAAAGTTTGATTTACCCGAGACCGATTTGTTGTCTCGTCTGTCGGCTGATCCAGAACCACCGGTCAGACTATTAAAACGTGAAAATACCATATTCCTAACGGAGCTGAACGAGGAACTAACCACGAATGTACCGAAACGGAGACCAACTAAACCACTTCCCGACTACCTTCTTTCATATGCTGAAAGCAGATGGATAGAAGCTACTGGATTTTGGCCCACAGATGAGTTCGGCGAGCATCAATGGACCGGTCAGAAGTATGATTCCGATCCAATCGCGTTTGTTTGCTGGATACTGGACAGTGATTTGTTTGACAAAATCCTCACACATCAGATACCCCCGTGCCCGACAGATGAGACACCATTGATGGCACAAACCGCTGTGGAATTATGCACGGCTATTGGGTCATTTCATGTACAATACGGTTTGCCAAATGCTCTGCTCAAGCGAATTCACCAATCCGTTTGCACTCTTCTCCTAACCACTCGATTCATTGAACTATTCACTCTTCTGCCCTCATGGTCTTTGCTATGGGCTACCAGTAGACTTCTTCTGAATTTGGGCTATCGTGACCAGTGTACCATTGCCCTGTTCCTGACCACATATTTCGCCCTGGAAGCACAACGTTCCTTCCGGGAACAGTTTGTGTCCGAGAAACAGATGCTGATTGTCAGCACATTTGAACAACTGGGGTTACTGGATCCGAGTAACGAACTAGTCCACGAATTGGCAGCCTTATTCCGTGGTAAGCATCCAAAACGTTTTGATGGCAAACAAATGGACAGTCAATTGACAGACACAGAGCAGACGGGTTTACAAAATTGGCTGGTCGAAGGTTCCGCGGGTGAGCAATTTTGGTTACATGCGGTGGAGCTTGCACGCACCTGGCTGGAGCATTGGTGCGCGATATGGGCAACTAAAAGAGAAACCAGTAAAATGCCGGTGAGCTCCAACTCCCTCCCCCCGTCCTTTCACACTACTCCAAACTTTTATCTGTGTTTCACGTGTAGTCCCTCAAACTGGCGATAATTAGTTTGTGTTAATGTTTGAAATTGGAAAATGTGGTGATCATGATTTGACGTGAAAATCTCGGCAATGTTATGGGAATTTATCTTTATTCAGTCGTGTGATTCATCATAGATTAATAAAACACTGACCTTAATTTTTTTGTGTCGGGAGATGATAGATGGAAACAGGGAGATTGCAATGAATCGAAAGAGGAACGAAGTCTTTGGAACCAGGTACACCAGTGTAGCAGTTAAACATAATACCCAAGATAACGTTCAAAAAATCTCAAAACGATAAAGGCAATGCCCTCGATCCGGCATACGATCTACAGCTGACTATAAGTGCGATACTGGGATATTACAAGTAAGAGACTATCAATCGATTTATCATCCTCGACGATTGGTATAACTCAGGGCGGAACAGTACAAGACTGATACGGTCTACCAACAGCTAATGTTTTACTGTAAAAGTCAGAGTGGAGCTGACGACATGATTCGGGCATTATTCTACCATGCGATCGGAAATCAGCTGTTTGCAATCAAACATGGCCCTGATTAATCTTTGAATTTGATCCACAGAAGTTCATCGATCGACCGGCCTTCTTTCTTGCACCGAATCGTTCGGTTTTGGCTGCTGATTTTCAGACTCGGTTTGTTCTAATAGTAAAAATATGAGCTTAAAATAAATGTTTAGATATGTTTTACTAAAACAAACTCTGAAGTCTATGATAAATTGAATAAGGAAAGTTAGTTACCACTTTTCATGATAATCCGAGATGCGATTATCTATCTGATATTTATCTAATGCCATTCAGCTACCCATTCCGATGACCGGTGAAGATAGAGATTCAGGTAGAGCAAGTTTACGAATGCGACGGTTGAAAACACTCAGCCGCGGCACGGTTTATCTAGCCATAGGTGACGCTGATACTGTGATCACCAATCGGGGAAACTAGTCAGGGTTCCCATACCCTCACATCAGGTCCTAGTTTGACTACCTTTGTCTTAGCCTACCCTCTAACCGTCTAGGTAAAGTTCGCGTGCTGCAACAGCCTATTTGATGACATGCGTAACACATGCCCCAACCAAAGTAATCTATGAAGGTTATGTACTTGTTTCGGTGGGTGTGGAACCTTCTTTTTCGTGCAACAGTCGGTCAGCTAGGCTTTAATAGTTCATACTGGTAATTTTTCTTTCTACAGAACAAGCGCTTCGCAAAACGCTCAGTCCCCATTGGACCCACTCTCGCAGACAGCACCAAATCTTCGGCCAGATCGAGGCATGTGAAATGGTCTAGAGCCTCGGATCAAGCCACATACAGACCGGAATCAGGCACTCCGTTCCAACAATCCCCGGATGTGATCGAAGCTATCAACACATTCTGTCGGGCAACAAGAGCCTGGAATGGACGCGTACAATTGTCAACTGCTGAGACCACGCAGGTGGACGACAAGATCGAAACCGAGGTCGTGAAAATCTCTTCCGTGAGAGGGGTAAGTGTATTCAAATTGTTGATGATTGAACACTTTCCGGAGAGTGGGGAATGCAACGGTAAAAGAACAATCTTCATCACAAAGAGCATGTCAAGCATCAAGTAGAACTGAATATTCTTAACAGTAAACATTAAAAAGTGTGTGTGTGTGTGTGTGTGAAAATAACGCGAGGTATTATGGATTAGGTGATTGGAGGTCAAGACACGACTGGGCCGAAGGCACTCCGCGAACAATAAATCCAAGAAACCTGTCACAAACCAAAAGCAATAAAACACAACAAATTGCCATTTCTAGATGTCGGCATCTTCCGTCGATCAAATGGTTCAGTGAAGCGTTCCGTGCATAGAAGGGCAACTTGAAAAGACCAGTACGTTCATTTCCGAAGCTTTGTGCCAATGAAGGTAAAAATGGAATGTATTTTGTTATCTAGCGGATAGGGCAAGAAAGATCTGCAATGAGGACACGCTAGAAGAAGAGCTCCGTACCATAAAATCTATATTTGCACGTAACGGGAATCCGGAGGGTTTAGTCAACTAGATGATTCGGTGCACGGAAAACTCTTTACAAAACACCGGGGTTAAGAAAAAAGTCCGTGTACATTTCTTTGCCGTTCAAAGGGGACTTGGCAGCTGAGATCATACGAAGAAGATTGTCCGACGCAATTGATAAGACTTTTTATGCATCCAAGCTTCATGTGTTGTTCACGTCCAAGCTAATTGTGTGTTTGCGACTGAAGAACAAAGTTTCAGGCTCCGCGGTCTCATTCTATGTATACTCATTTACTTGTTTCTGTGGAACAACGCACACATGCTGCACAGGCGATTGTCCGAACGGATTCGTGAACACCATCCTGCGTGACTCAGCACTCTCCAATGCAGTGGTTTCATACCTATCTGAAACAAATCACACTGTGGACGTGTCCGAGGCTATCTGACCCCTGCATAAAATTCGTGGGTGATTATCTAGACAGGTTCGCTGTCGGATGCTGGCTATTGCAGAAGCGGCAGGGAGTTTGTCTGTACAACCCCACTTTGTGTGCCTCAAAACAATTTCTATAAGCGCTAAAGCTTCCCTGGCCCACCCAACCTCACACACATCGTATCACTTGTAATCTCGATGATCGGATCAGTGGACAAATAAATATGTGATCGTAGTGATCTCGATTTCCGGTCTCATGCTGAAATCGTTTCTAGTAATCTGTGATTTTATATTATTTCGTTCCCCAGTGGTGATATAAAGTGAGATGTATTGGCATGAACACGAATCTCTGAAAACGAGGTTGTTCACCATTCAGTTGTTTTGTTTGAAATGTGCTCTGTGGGACTATTTCGACAAAACACGATAAGTGTTAGTGAGCTGACACCTACGGTTAATAACTTCTGAGAGGTTTTCTTTCCTTCTTACTACTTACGGAATATCATGGTTACATTGAAAGAAGTAGACTACCACAATTGTCTGAGATGCTATAGGTCTACGTTCTGTTTGCAGCAAAATGTATCGGGTTTTCTATAGTCCAGAACAATACCCGGCGCGAACAGTTTCGCATCAACTACCGACCAGACTTTGTCTTTCCGATCAGCCATCTTCAGTTTATACAATCAGTTGCACTTCGTGTACATGTACTTTCGGTTGTGAAAACTGCACACCTGATTACAAAGACAGTATGCAAACAGAGTTGAATCCATCATTCTAATTAACCTTGTGGTGACCTGGTTGTACTGGATTACCACACACACACACACACACACACACACACACAGACACACACACACCTAATGCGAGAGACCTGAGATTCGAACACTGAACCGGCATATTGACAGATATAGACGCGCTTACCCAGATATTCAGAGCTCAATCGAAACTTTCTGTTCTCCGAGGCGTTCACACGCGGTGTACCTTTGCCAGTTTACTTCGATGTGAGTTGTTTCGAAACGGAGATCCATCCTGTAGGATGGAATGATGTCATTGGAACGTTTATTCGCACATTGTGAGCTTTCGCCAATGTGTAGTAACGTTATCGAGGGTGTCTACCTAATGAGTACTGAGAATATTTATATCGGCTGCTTCGCGAAACAGGATGAATGAACGGTGCACCATAGAACATTTTCGCATACCACATACGAGGAATACAGATCATGCATGTAGTGACCATATGCATATCGCTAAACTAGGTTGTTGTGCTCGCCGCATTCAATTGCTTATAATCAACATCAATAATTCGGTTAGCTGCTTCTTTGGCACGAACTGATTAACCCTGTGAATCCATAGAGTAACATATATACAACAGTCAGCCCATTCATTTGATAATTGCCGTTCCGCACCCCAGTTAATTTCCTGAGGCAAACGTTGATGGCACACAGGTTACGTGAGAATGTGTCAGTTAGTACATTCGATCAGTGTGTGTTCAGTTAACCTTGGTTTTACTCTGCGGAGCAAGTGAGTGAGAATATGTGACTCTCCCGCAGGCACGATCGTCACCATCTTTCATAACCTAGGAGGCACAACACCCAAAAATATCAAAAAGTGTAAGGTTAAACGCACACAAAAATAATTTGTCATCCCAGGTATCTAACGTTGCTCGTGTTTAAATGTTTCACCGACTTTCCACTTTGTTCTGTATCCCAATCTGCCTGCCCCTATTTTTGTTATTTTCATTATTGTTGTGGCTTCGCATCACGATTGTCTACAAACCGGTGTGATATATATACATATATATATTCGTCACAATAACCTTGTTTGCAACGCCGGGTGACCATTGGATAGACAGCTCTTTCAGAGCCAGTCCTATGAAGAATCAATGCTATGATTCGATGTTTTGTAAATGGGTTAGATGCTACTAACCGCAACAAACGTGACCTGATGGTCTTGGTAGAATATTTGATAAGGAGTAGTATGTGACTGAGTGGAAAATATTTCCCTGGAAGCACGCGCCCGGTTTCGCGGTTCTTGCCGCTCGTCAGGCATGCGTATTATCACATATATATATATATTCACCGAAAGACCCTTCCGACGCAGAGTAGGCTGTCCAGTCTATCTCCGGTGCATTGAAGTTACCTACCACTATCGGCTTTCTTCGAGCATTAACTAACTTTGTTAGGAACTCCAGTAGTTGACCGAAAGCTACGGATAAATTACCAGTATTTCATTGGATCACCGTCAAAATAAAATATCTCCGGATTTCGGAGGTTATTGAGTGATGAAATGATCTTTCCGATAGAGGACGCATCTATCGGCAAAATTTCTGGATAATTCTTTTCG